CAATAAAGATGAGAAATAAGTGTATAAAAATATGTTCAACATTATATGACATTCGGAAATTGCAAATTAAAACAATAACAAGATGCCACTAATGCCTGTTAGAATGGCCACAATCCAAAACACTGACAACATCAACTACTGTCAAGGATGTGGAGCAATAGGAATTCACAGTCCTTGCTGGTGTGAACGCAAAATGATATTCACTTTGGAAGACATTTTGGCAGTTTCTTACAAAACTAAACATTCTTTTACCATATGATCCAGTAATCACACTGCTCTGCTATGGATTGAATGTTTGTGTGTCCCTTCCAAAGATTGTATACTGAGTCCCTAACCGCAAATGTGATGAAAATTAGAGGTGGGAATTTGGACATAATTAGATCAAGCTGAGGTCATAAATGTGGAAACCCCAGGATGAGATCAGTGTCCTTACAAGAAGAGGTAGTCCCTCATCAGGGACTACCTAATCTGTTAACAGTTTAATCTTGACCCAGATTTGGAAAATCCCCAGCCTATCCCATGGTGCAGAGAACACCAAGGGTGTGGCCATATGACAGAACCAGGGACCTAATCAGCCACCCAAGTAGAGAGACCAAAAGATCTCGATTTCTCTCTTCACCATGTGTGAACAGAGCAAGAAGATAACCATCTGCAAGGCAGGAAGTGTCAATTTCCTCCTGGGACCTCCTGACCCTCACCAGGAACCTGACATGTTGGCGACCCCCTGGTGTTGAACTTCCCAGACTCCAGAATTGTGAACAATAAATGTCTGTTGTTTAAGTCACCCAGGCTATGGTATTTTGTGATAGCCACCTAGATTGACATATGCCTGTGTATTTATCCAAATGAGTTTTAAAAAGTATCCACACAAAAACTGCAAACGAATGCTTATAGCAATTTTATTCATAGTTTCCAAGACTTAGAAGCAGCAAAGATAAACTAGCACAGGTGAATGGATAAGTAAATTGTGGTACATACACACAATGGAATATTATTCAGTGATAAAAATACATGAGCTATTTAAGTCACAAAGAAGACATGGAGAAATCTCAAACATATATTCCTAGGTGAAAGAAACCAGTCCAAAAAAGCTACATATTATATGATTCTAAAAATATGGCACTCTAGAAAAAGGCAAAACTATGAGGACAGCAAAATAACCAGTGGTTGCCAAGAGTTAGTGGAGAGGGAGACATGAATAGGAGGATCGCAGAGGATTTTTAGGGCAATGAAATTATTCTTTATGATACCATGAGGGTGGATACCTATCATTATACATTTGTTCAAATTCACAGAATAAAATCAAATGCAAACTCTGGACTTTAGACAATTATGATGTGTCAATATAAGTTCATCAATTCTAAGAAATGCACTACTCCCAGCAGGGGATTCTGATAATAGAAGAAGATGTACATGTGCAGACTATATAAGGAACTGAAACAACTTCATAGCAAAAGAAAATCTGGCTTTAAAATAAGCGAATGAGCTAAGCATAGTGGTACATACCTGTAATCCCAGCCAAGGCAGGATTGCAAGTTCAAGGCCAGCCTCAGCAACTTAGTGAGACCCTAAGCAACTTAGCAAGACCATGTCGCAAATAAAAAATAAAAAGGACTGGGGATGTGGCTCAGTGGCCTTTGGATTCAATCCCTGGTACCAAAAATGAAGTAAAAAATAAAATAAAATAAGCAAATAACCTACATAGAGATTTCACAAAGAAGACATACAAATGGCCAAAAGGTATATGAAATATGCTCAACATTGCTAGTCATCAAGAAATTGCAAATAAAAACCCCAATAAAATATCACTCTAGTTAGAATGGCTGCACTAAAAAGACAAAAGGTAATGAGTGCTGTCAAAGATGTGGAAAAAGAGAACATTTACACATTATTGATGGGAATGTATATAAGGACAGCCATTATAGAAAACAGTCTCGCAGTTCTCCACAAAATTAGAATAGAACTTTTATTGATTGGGTTATTTGGGTTTTTTTTTTGGTTTTTTTTGGTTTGGTTTTTTTTTTTGGTGTTCAGTTTTTTGAGTTCTTTATATACGCTAGAGATTAATGCTCTATCTGATGTGTGAGGAGTAAAAATTTGCTCCCAAGATGTAGGCTCTCTATTCACCTCACGGACTATTTCTTTTGTTGAGAAGAAACTTTTTAGTTTGAGTCCATCCCATTTATTAATTCTTGATTTTAATTCTTGATCCAAAGGAGTCTTATTAAGGAAGTTGGGGCCTAATCCCACATGGTGGAGATTAGGGCCTATTTTTTCTTCTTTTAGATGCAGGGTCTCTGGTTTTATTCCTAAGTCCTTGATGCATTTTGAGTTGAGTTTTGAGAGATAGGGGTTTAATTTCCTTTTTTTTGCATATGGATTTCCAGTTTTTCCAGCATCCTTTGTTGAAGAGGCTATCTTTTCTCCAATGTATGTTTTTGGTACCTTTGTCAAATATAAGATAACTGTAATTATGTGGGTAGGTCTCTGTGTCCTCTATTCTATACCATTGGTTTACCAGTCTGTTTTAGACACTTCTCAGAAGATGATATATATGAAAAAATGTTCATCATCGCTAGCAATTAGAGAAATGCAAATCAAGACCACTCTAAGATTTTATCTCACTCCAGTCAGAATGGCAGTTATTATGAAGACAAACAACAATAAGCATTGGCGAGGAAGTGGGGAGAAAGGTACGCTCATACACTGCTGGTGGAACTGCAAACTGGTGCAGCCAATATATGGAAAGCAGTATGGAGATTTCTTGGAAAATTGGGAATGGACCACCATTTGACCCAGCTTTCCCTCTCCTTGGGCTATACCCAAAGAATACTACAGGGACATACTACAGGGACACAGACACATCAATGTTTATAGCAGCACAATTCACAATAGCTAAACTGTGGAATCAACCTACATGCCCTTCAATAGATGAATGGATAAAAAAAATGTAGCATATATACACAATGAAATATTACTCAGCAATAAAAGAGAATAAAATCATTTGCAAGTAAATGGATGGAGTTAGAGAAGATAATGCTAAGTGAAGTTAGCCAACCCCAAATAACCAAATGCCAAATGTTTTCTTTGATATAAGGAGGCTGATTTATAATGGGATAGAGAGAGGGAGTATGGGAGGAATAGAGGAACTCTAGATAGGGCAAAGGGGTTGGAGGGGAAGGGAAGTGGGCATGGGGTTAGAAATGATAGTGGAACATGATGATCATTTTATCCAAAGTACATATATGAAGACAAGAATTGGTGTGAATATACTTTGTATACAACCAGAGATATGAAAAATTGTGCTCTATATGTATAATAAGAATTGTAATGCATTCTGCTGTCTTATATAATATAAAATTTTAAAAAAAGAAAAAATTAGAATAGAACTACCTACCACATGATCCAGTAATTCCACAACTGGTATACACACAAATGAAAGAAATCAGTGTGTTGAAGAGATATATCTGTATTCCCATGCTTATTGAGGAGTTACTCACAACAATTAAGATATGTGAATCAACCCAAGTGTCCATTAGTGGATGAATGGATACATAAAATGTGAGATAGATATAGATATAGATATATAGCTACTTGGCCATAAAAGATAAAATCCTGTCATTTGCAACACTATGGATGGAACTAGAGGATATTACACTAAGTGAAATAAGCCAGGCACAGAGGGAAAACTACCATATGATTTCACTCACATGGGAAATCTAAAAAATTCAATCTCAAAGAAGTAGAGAGTAGAATAATGGTTACCAGAGGCTAGGAGACAAGTGAAGGGGAGATGTGGATTGGTCCGTCAATGGGTACAAAATCAGAGTTAAATAAAGAGAATAAATTCTGTACCAGGAGTGGTGGCATACACCTGTAACCTCAGCTACTCAGGAGGCTGAGTCAGGAGGATCACAAGTTTGGGGGCAGTCTGGGTAACTTAGCAAGACCCTATCCCAAAATAAAAATTAAAAAGAGCTTGGGAGTGGGAGTGGGATAGCTCAGTGGTAGACTACTTGTCTAGCATGCACAAAGCCCTGGGTTCAAGAAAAAAAAAGAGTAAATTCTAGTGTTCTAACGTACAGTAGGATGATAGTAGTCACTACTAATGTGTTGTACATTCCAAAATAGCTAGAAGAGAGAATTTTGGATGATTAACCACAAAGAGATGTTAGATATGCCAATTACTCTGATTTGATCCTCACACAATGTATACATGTATCAAAACATCACATTGTACTCCACATATTTGTACAATTTTTATGTTTCAGTTAAAAAGGTTTTAAATGTAATTTAAACAAAAAGCAATTACGAATGAGTGGACAGAATTTAGCACATCCAATAAGGTATAAAGCAGCACCTCAGGGCCAAAGGCAGGCCTGAAGGACAGGTAGGCGTGGTTATGGAAATCTACCTGCAGAAAGCTGCAGACAGAATAGCCCATATATGGCAATCAGAAGGGAGGCTGAAAAACAAATTATCTGATCTCACTCTCCTCTGCCTTCCAGTCTCCTGTTAGTGCCTCCCATTGACCAAACCCAGCTGCAGGCCAGAGGTCTAGGGACCATCAGTGCAGGCCACGGGTCCTCCTAAGGCACTGAGTAGACAAGCATAGACAAGTAGATCTGGAGGGAAAGATGGGAAGTATACAGCCCAATTTCCAACTCCATGGGAAAGGAATGAAGGGAGGGAGGGAGGGGTAAAAATTCTTAGGGATGAGGGACAGAGAAAAGGGAAGAGACTGATCAAGGAGTGGCTTCTAGATCAAGGGGACTGCTCATGTATTACTAGCCAAAACAGCAGTGAGCTCAGATTAGATGTTTCAAAATGTTTATTTTCACATGAAAAGTTTCAACACCTGCCTTCTAGTTTCCTGAGCAAGTTTCCCAATCTGACCCTGGATGCTACAGACTCTAAGGCTCCCCACCTCCCTATTCCCTGCCAAACCCCTCATTTTCCACTGAGGACCACAGCCCCACTTTCTTAGCATCACACTCTCTTCACAGCTTAGGAGAGTAGCCAGCCACTGTGATGTTCTCCCCAGTGATATAGCTGGCGTCTGAAGAGCACAGGAAGGATACAATCCCCGCACAGTCCTCTGGCTCCCCAAGCCTGAATAAAACAGAGAAGAGCTGAGGTCACAGCCTTTGCAGTATTGAACTGTGACCTCAGGTTTTGCTGGGCCAGAGGTGGCCTAGCATTCACCCCAATAAGCCAATACCTCACCAGGCTCCACGGATGGTCATAGTGAGCTCACATCCACCCTTCTGCCCCCAACCCAGGACTGTGCTGTGCCCCCCTAGAAAGGAGAACAGCCAGTACACTGAAAGAAGATCAAGGATCTGTCTCTTCTTGAAATTGAATTTCCCTTGAGGTAGACACTGACCTCTAAAGCCCCAAACCCCACCTACCGCTGCAATCCATAGATTTTGTTCAAATCAGATGGCGTGTACGGCAATGTTTTCTCCTAGGGAAAGATTTCAGAGTCAGCATTAGGCAGAGGGATATTGGTAGGGGTGGGGATGGATTTGGGGGTGGGGGGATGGGAAGAGCATCATGGCCCGCTAATGCCTCTCTGGGGGAAGATCCTGTTCTGGCAGTGAGGTAGGGCTCTGGTCTGCTCCCCACAGAGGATTAAGACCCCCATTCTTCTGCAGGAAATGGGGGGGGCTGCTGGTTCTGAAGCCAGAGGGCACAGCCTCTCAGTGATGAGCCTGGACTGAGGCTCTAGTAGGTATGTGGTCTCTGGGGGCCCAATTCCGACAGGAGCCCAGCCATGGAAAGGACCACTGAGACTGTGGTTGTGGGGACTGGGAGCAGAAGCCATTGTCATAGTCACCATTTGAATAAAGTCGGTCTTGATTATTCCTGGTACTATGCTGTTCACTCGGATGCCTTTGGGAGCCAGCTCCACAGCCAGAGACTTACAGAGGCCCAACAAGGCCGTCTTGCTGGTATTATAGACTCCCAGCTTCTATAAAGCAAAAGGAAGAAAACTAATAGTTCTGCATGGGAAGAAGGGTCTTATTCAAACAAAACTGTGACCCTGGGTCACAGACTAAGAAGATATGCCTGACTCTAGGCCCCAACAAAAATTCCTCCCCCACCCCTCAAGTCTTCACAGAGATTTTCAAGGAGTGAAATTCTGAGATGAAGGGGCTCCTCATACTTAAGGAAATGTCAGCAAATTGCTGCCATGTGTGGCCAAACTTGACACAGAGAGAGCAGCACTGCACTTTAGAACATTCACTTAGGAAATTGGAATTAGGAGATCCAGGGTCTAGTCCTTGCAGTAATGCAAACTAACTATGCTTACCCTGACTAAATGGTCTAACACCCTGGGTTTCAGAGATAACGTGACAGAATGAGAGTATAATACCCGGCCTGTAGCATTCAGGGCGTTAGGCTACTGGTACACATCTCAAGCCCACTTTATCTGGTATCAACAGCCAGTTCCCCCTCACCCCACTGCAGGGTCTCACAAGAAACCAACTCAGATGCCCCCCAAGCTCCACCTGAGGATCTCATACTCACTGATATTGGCATATAAGCTGCCACAGATGAGACCAGAACCACAGAGCCTCCCCTATGAGGAGAAAAGGAAATAAGATAAGATGACAGATGAGGTCAACTAAGAGATTATATGAGCCAGGGAATTATTATACTCCCACACTAAAAGAAAACCAGCTCAGCATTCATGGTGAAAAGCATAAGTGTTGGGGAACAATTTGGAACACGGGGGAGAAGCTGGACCTTTAAGTTAAATGTCAGTACCACCCAATAAGCACAGCCAGAGTGGTGTCCCTTGGGGCCCTGCCTAGTGAGAGGCAGCACTCCCAGAAAGCAGAATCCCAGTAATGTTCATGTGTCATAGAGACTCCTGTGGGGTCAGGATGTCACTCATGAGTCCCAGCCTGGCTTGCCCCTTGGTGGCCACAGGACACAAAAGAGCCAGGCTCTGCAGGGGAAGGTGAGAAAGAGCAAACCCACAGTGTCTCTGACCAGAAGGGAAACAGGTGAGATGGCCCAGAGAGGAGGGTAAGAGTTAGGGAATCGGAACAGGGGACCCCAGGCTGCTTCTCTCTGGAAACTTTGTTCCTGCAACTACCACTCAAGGGGCAAAATCCCTGCCATTTTCTGTGATGTAATAATCTAAGGGTTCGTGAAATATCCTTTAAGGAACAGAAAGGCAAGTTCTGACTCCTCCCAGCCAATGCTTCTCTTCAACACAACTGTCACATCCTCGGGGAAGGAAGGTAGGTCTGGAAACAGAATGTTTCCCAAAAGACACACCTGCCATCTCTCCCATAATCCTCTACTTCATGGGCCCCTGCCCCAAGTGCTTTCTTGGGGTAGGAAAGACCAGTGTATGCCCCACCCATTCCTCTCATGCCCTCACCCCCTGTTCTCCATGTGGGGCAGCAGCTGGCTCAGCAGCAGGGCCGGGGCCTTCACATTCACTCCCAGGATCTGAAATCAGAAAGAATATAGAGAAAGGCAGCGGGGAGAGAGCAATTCCATCTGCTCAGGGCCCATTCTCCCTGATCACTTGGAGATCAATGGTCAGAGCCGGAAGGAAGCTCCATAACTGTGGCAAGTAGCCAGGGCACTGTGTTTCTTGGGACAGCCAATTTGAGAGTCCAGATTGTGATAGCTTCAGACACCTGAGCTGGAGAGGGTCTCTGCCATGAACAGATCCAGAAATCTGGCATCTCAGGACTTTACAGCTGGGACCAACACAAAGAGAGTCCATATAGAGGAAGTTTCTGAAGACTGGTATAGGATGGACATGGTCAGTGCCTGTTGAGCCTACTGATGGCTCCAGTGAGCCCTAATCCCATCCACTAGAGCCAGTATTGATGGTGGTATATGGGAGCTGTGTGCGCACATGCATATGTGCAAACAGGTGGATAGTGTGCCATGCAGGATGGGTAAAACCCTACGCCCAGTCCTTACCTTGTCCCAGACTTGCTCACTGGCTCCCAGAGTGCTCCCCACCAAGGGATTGACCCCCGCCACACACACCAGGAAATCAATGCCCTTATGGTGCTCTAGGGCCTGTGGAAGAAATGACATAAGCTGTGAATGAAGGAATGGATAAATGGTAAAAATGACCCAGAGGAAATATCTAACCCCTGTCTGGCTATCCTGGAGCTGTCCAGGAGCAGAATCAGATCCTGGCAATCAGAGGTGGACTGAACTGATTATGCCTCTCCTCTTTAGAAACATCAGTTTTCTGCCCCCAAAGGACACCTGGTTGGTCCCTGGGCCCCACTGACCCAGATCTTCACTTAGGAAGTATCCCTTCATCTCTTCCATTTATAATTATTTCCTTCTCTTTGCTTCCTCTGCTCTGAAAGATTCTTCCTTCGATCTGACATATCAAAAGCATATGCCCATTCTACATCCCATCAGGTTCACAACTTGCCTCTTCTAAGGGTAGTCCCACAGGAAAATCTCCTACCCCAGAGTAGTCTAGCAAACTCCTAACTCAGCACACATAGGTGTTAGAGCTGTGCTGCTTAGACTTCAACATGAACTTGGATTAACTTGAAGATTTTGTAAAAATTCAGCAGCTCTGGCAAGATCTGAGGTTCTGAGTCTCAAGCAAGATGCTGTGTCATGCCCAGCTCTTGGTCATCAGATTGGCATGGCTCTAGTCTAACCATGAAGGTTCCCTCCTGTCAGCAAACTTCTTGTGTCCATTTGCTTATTCTCTGACCAGGTCCCTGTCCTGGGCTGCATATGTTATTGGCCTAGAATCCAGTGCTAGAGACCCCGACTCTTCTTGCCAGAGCTGGATCTGCATATTCCCATCTGATCCATTCCTCAGCCTCTCACCTTAGCCACCAGTCTATCTCGGTCTTCAGCCTTCCCCACATGGCACACAGTGCCTGTCACGCTCAGTCCCTCCTTCTGAAGAGTGGTCACTGCCTGGTCCACATTCCACTGCTTCCGGCTACAGATGACCACATGGGCCCCATTCTGGGCCAGATGCCTGGCGATGGCAAAGCCAATCCTGCAGATAGAGAATAAGATGACCTCACCTCTCCCCAAACTGCTTTCTCAAACCTGATACTTAGATGTAGATTGAGTTCCTGATGTTGTCTAAGAGCCGCCTCCAAATCCTCTGAGCAGGGAAAAGGAATTATTTAATGCCTACTACATATCAGGTCTTCACAAAAGCTCCCTCATTTAATTCTCACAACTTTATGTACAATAATAATATTTTATAGATAAGGATATTTCCATATCAAATTTGCTAAAAGGAGCTTTAAAAAGTAATGTTCCATCAGAACAGTTGTAAACTTGCTGGGCACCAGGCCTAAATTGTAGAGAGTCTTTTTAACTGCCCAGCATTTTTTCCCTTTGTTCTAATCAGAGAGTTCTGGCATAAATCGTGATTTCTCTAAGCCTAACAGCTTTGCTCTGCTCTGCAACTTAAAAACTTTTCTGCTGAAGAGCATGTTCTCTGCCTGTTTCCTTGCATTAAGGAGGGCTGAGCACTCTTGACTTGGTCTGGTTAAGATAAAGGAAGGGCACAAGGCATGTTCCCACTATCCTGTAGAAACCATCCAGGTAGCTTGGAATTTTTAAAGTATTCATCTATTATGGAGGCTCAGTATTGGGAACACACACAAAGGTTTAAAACACCACAGGGATCTGGGAAGTCTATAATTACTAAACAATTCTAAAATACAGTGGTTTAAATTGGTGCTATTATAGACCACAAAAGGTCAAAAGGAAGATGATGCCCCTAAAGCACAAAATCCAGAAACCTCCCCTCCTTCTACCTGTGGTAAGGACTTATTATAGACTGCCGCTCATTCTGGCAGCCAGAGCACATGAAAGCATGGCTTCTGTCCCTTCAGAGGATGGCTTTGAAGGGACACAGGAATAAATGAAGATTTGTCCATGAAAACTCTTGGCACTGCTCTTGAGACATTGCCCTGCCTATTCCCCAGTGCCAGTGGGCATTCTGCTGTCACTGAAACCCCTGAGTCTGAAACACAATAGGAATTGGGCTTCTCTCTATTAGATGAGGATGCCAAAAGACCGTGGCCACGGGGCTATGAAGGATGTGGGCAAGAGGGCTGTCCTGGTGGCAATAAGTTAAATATCTGGGGATTACCCAGCCAGTAAATGGTAAAGACTAGCTTCACAGCTGCTCTGATTGACTCAGTATAACTGGTTTTCTGACCACCTCATTCTTGGAGCTCAGAAACCAGATATTTTAGGGAGAGATATGGAGTTAAATACCAGAGCTGTGTGATGACGTAGGGACCCTGAGCAGGCAGGGATACCTGAGATGAGCATGACTTTAGTGACATCCGGTCATGAGGCAGTCAGGGACTTCCATTCACCCACCCTTTAGTAGATCCAGTGATCACCGCCACTTTATCAGCCAGGGAGCGGCTCTTATCTGCTCTTTCACTGAACATTCTTGTTGATAGAGGGATGGAGGAGCAATGAAGACCCCTCAAGGTCCATGATAACGCCCTGAACATGAGTGGAAGTTGTTATCTGGCCATCTTCCTGAACATAAAACTTCTCAGGGGAAGAACCTGGGAAGACATTACATTACAGAACACATTAGGACCTGTGTCGTCCTGCATCCTCCAGGGAGACTCCACTGAAGTCTCTGATAGGTGTCCCACCATCCTCCAAACTTACCAGGAAGCTATAGAGCCATCCATGTCCTTTCTGTGGCCAACTCCCCAGGCAGGCTCCCCTGACCTATAGTGAACTACCCCACTGAGGCAGACAGGGCCAAGCATGGCAGTGGCTCATGGTAGAAGCCTAAGGGGTACTTGCCTAACCCATCTCCACACCTCCAAATAAAGACTATCACCATATTCTTTTGTTTTTGTTTTGTTCTTTTTGTGATTCTGAACCTCATGCATAGTGGGCAAGTGCTCTATCCCTAAGCCATATCCCCAGTCCTTTTTAGTTTTCATTTTGAGACAGGGTCTCACTAAGCTGCCCAGCCTGGCCTTGAACTTGAGATCCTCCTGCTTTAGCTTCCTGAATAGCTGAGATTTTAGTTGTGCACCATCATTCCTGGCTTTATATTCTTCTCAGAGTTACCTCTGTACTTCCTCTACACAGCCAACATTGGAACATTGAACTTGTATATTTAAAAAAAAATTTTTTTTTGGTGGTTCTGGAGATGGAACCCAGGGTCTAGCACATGCTAAGAATGTGCTCTACCACTAGGCTATATCCCCAGCCCTTGAGCATTGAACTTGTTTTTTTCTCAACATCTTCGGTTTCTGACCTTTCCCTAGCCTGCTGCAACCTTCTCTCTCTTCAGGTCCTCACCTAAAGAAACAGTAGTAGCCTCCCTGTCAGAGATCTAAACTGATCAGCATGTCTGACAGGCAAGTTGCTTCCCCTCACCACACATGACTCTCAATCAACTCTAAATAAAGTCCAGTTACTCCCTACGTTCAAAAAACTTTCATAGATCATCTATCCCTGCTTCCTTCTGACCTCCAGTCCATACTGTCCATGCTTACCTACCCAAAGATCTCATGGCCTTGTGTCATTGTAACCACATCAGTCTCACCTCATACCTGAAACAGCTGTCTCTCAGCTCACAACATTCACCTCTAACCCCTCACCACCTAATGGGAGACCAAGGAGCAATAATTATCTAAGGCTTCCTTACTTACTGCAAGGCAAGTAGTTGTTTTGGAGGTGGCCCTGGGAAGCTATGCCAGGAGAATGAAGAGAGTGGGATGGAAAAGAATTTAAATGACCAAGGACACATAATCAAATACGTTATCTCTATGAGCAACTGGAGCTCAATCCTACTAAGAAATTCTGAGCAAGTGTTTCAAATTTCAGAGTTAATCCAAGGGAACTGGAGACTTAGGGTGGCCAATTATCCCAGTTTCCCAGGATTACAGGTTTAGCACTGAAAGATCTGCATTCCAGGGAACCCCAAGCAAACCAGAACCACTAGCCACCTCCATGGGTTATATTTCCAACTCCCCTCAGTTACTGGTGAGGGCTGCTTCTGAGCAGCAATAGTTTGCAGGCACAATCTTGGCTCTTGAGACACAAAAGCCTGTTCCAAAGAACTGATATATCATTTATAAGGACTGAGAGCGGCAGCCCAGGGCTGGAGGAGGGATACAGGGCCTTTGGGGGAAGTGGGATGGTGCTTGGGACTATAACAGCCTGAGAAGCTATCCAGGGCATAGAATCTAGTGAGATTGGGCCTGTAATGGAAATAGAGAGGTGACCAGCATAGAAGGGACCTAGATAAGGTGGAATAAAGAGTGAGGCCAGGGATGAAAGAGGGCTCCTGGAGGTTTTAACAAATTAGTAATTTTATGTAAATAAATGACAATCATGCTCAGGAAGACAAACTTCTTTCTGGGCCCTAATGTCTAGAAGAGGTAATCATTTCTTTAGTGCCCATTTTTCACCTTGATTTAATTCTTATTCCATTTTTTGAGTGGTTTAGGCACCATTAAGTAGGGAATTAATACAGAAAGCTAACATGACCTTTCCTAGAGGGAAAAAAAATCATAAGTCTCTAAAAATAGACAAGTTCACATCTGTTCTACATCAAAGCTTTAAACCATCATGCACTTTCTATCTAAATCTCTGGCTTTCAAAGCAAGTTCAATCTTGTTCATCTCAAGGAGTGTTGGAGTCTAAATCATGTCCCCTCACTAGTCATATGTCCAGGCCCTAATCACCAATGCCTCAGAATGTGGGTCTGGAGATGAAGCCTTTAAAGAAATTATTAATAAACTAATATAGCTGGGGTGGGACTTTGCAGAAGAACAAATGCCACGGGACATGATCAAGGCAATTCCCAGAGAAGAAAATGCAGCCTTAAATACATTTCTTTTTCCAGAAAGGAAATAATTTAAAACAATAAAATAATATTTCAATTTAAGAAGTTAATAAAAGATAAATGCTGACAAACTCAAGTGAAAAGAATGAAAATATAAATTAAAGCAGAAGTCATGAATTTGGAAATAAAAACAAGAGAATAGAAAAATATATCAGATTCTAAAAATGGTTTTCTTTTGGTCACAAAACTATAGTTTAATTCTTGAATTTTTTTCCCTTGTATTAATTTCCCAAATTTCCTATGAAAAAAGCATACATTATTTTTACATTTAAAAGTTGATTTTTCCAGTTACTACTTGGAGAAATAGCAGATCCTTGGGCTAGGAAAGGAAAAATGCATCTTTAGTGCCAGAAAACAAGCAATTGCTAAATAAATAAATAAACATTTAAAAACCAAAGGACTGGAGGCATAGCAAAAGAACACAGGAGCCAAACTTTCGGAGATCCCAGTAGCCAAAACTCGACGAATCTGAGCAAGAAAATAAGGTATTGAATTTTAACTCAATTTGTTGATTTATTTTAACTCAAAGTATAAAATAAATATATGTGTGTTCACACTACTATCAAAAAAAACAAAAAAGATTAAATAAATAACTAAATAATGGCTTAAATAACTAAGTAACTAAATAAATAAATTTTTCTTTACAGAAAAATTCCAAATATTATATGCAGATATTATAAGAAGGGGATCTTAATCACATTGAAGGTGAGCTGGACTTGCAGTCTCATTTCCAAAGAATATAGGAGAGGGGAAAAGAGGGATTTTACAGTAGAGAAACATGACAGACACTTCCCAACCATTAACCATATGATCAGCACCACATAAGTCATACCCGGTGGTATTTTCCCCAAAGCCAATCATGAAGAAAACATCAGATAAACCCAAACTGAAGGATATTCCACAACGGCCCAGCATCTCAGAGAGCAGGGATAGCTCAGCTCACAAGTATCTATGGTGGTATCTGAGACTTGCTACTGCAGAGGAGAAGGTGGATTTGACCTTTTGTCTCTGGATACAAAAGAAATAAGGACTCAAGTTCAGGCCTTAAGACCTTCCCTTTCCAGTCTGACGCTCCTGGTGGTGACCAGTGGAGTTCACTGACCACAGAGTCTCCTGAGAGCCTTGAAGAACAGAACTGTGCTGAGAAAAGAAGTGTGTATCCTAGTGGCCTCTGGCAGCTCCAGCCTTAGCCTACTGTCCCCAGGGGGACCCAGAGAAGGAACAAGCATACCTACCTGGGACCAATGGACTCAGCTTTTCTGAAATCATGCAGCTATGTGGCTAGCTCCAGGAGTCCACTATATAAGAGTTCTACCCTAGTCTTCCTTGTCAGTTCAGACACACCCTTAAGCTCACCTTATTCCTTTCCCACCACACTCCAAGCCCTCTTGATGAGTCATGACATCATTTCAGTAAAATACTATGTACTTAAAACCACCTCTAATAACCCCAAATAACTCCTCCTAAGGTAATATCCTGCTTTCAAAGCTGCCCCAGTTTCCTGGTAAAGGAAAATCCTGGAGGCATTCCCAGGTGCCAAGGAAGCCATCAGTACCAATTTGTTAAATAAATAAATATCACACCAAATAGGAAAAGATATGTATCCAAATGACTCTGGCCAAGAGAGAGCCTAAGATAATGTTGTCACCAATTAAAGTCTTAGAGAGCTATGGCCATGGGGAAATATTTCCTCAGGTTTTTGGCAAATTCAACCAAATTCAAATTTTTGCCAAATTCAATCAAATCACCAGTACCATTTTTTACTTCTCTTGAGAAATGTTTGTTATGATGCATTAGATGTTTCTACCAATGGCATCTTCCTCTTTCCGACATCCATTTGGAAATTCTGCTCTTTCTCTGCAAGTGCTCTAACATCAAGGGCACTGTTATGCAACTCTTTGGCTCTCAGAAATGCTTGCAAATTGACAGTGGGGTTTAGCCCTTCTCTGGAAGTTTCATCCTTGCATACTCAGTTCATCTATTATGAAATATTTGAATTCATGGGGGAAAAAACAGCATAATACAGCTATCACCCACATTTAACAACTATTAACATTCCCTCCTATTTGCATCAACTTTTACTTTAAAAAGAAAATATTACAAATTGAATAGAAACCCCCTTTTGCACTCTTCCAGATCAGATTACCCTCTCTCTGCCCTCTCCAGAGATGGTCACTGTCCAGAAGTTGTGTGGACAGTTTTTATCCATGCTTTTACATTTTTACTACACATGCGCTCATAAATAATTCATATAATTTTGCTTGCTTTTAAACTTTACCAAAAATGATATTGTCACATAAATTTTATCATTATGCAACTTAGTCATTTTTGGAGACCTTTATTGTTGTTGTCTTTGTTTTATTGTACCGGGAATTGAAACCAGGGGTGCTCTAACACTGAGCTACAACCCTACCCTTTCTTATTCTGAGACAGAGTCTCACTAAATTGCTGAGACTGATCTTGGACTTGCAATCCCCCTGTCTCAGCTTCCAAGGTCGCAGGCATTACAGGGCTGTGTCACCACATCCAGCAACCTTATATTCTTAGAATTGAATCAGTACACATGTATCTCTAGCCTATTCACTTTCACTGCCATAAAACAGAATATTACTTGAATATACACAATTTGCTTATCCATTTTCC